TCTGCCACCTTTCCCCCAAGGCTGCCTGCAGCCACCAAGGAGCCAGGAGAGCAGCTGTCCAGGCACTGCAACTGTCCAGTTTCCCGTGGCTCCTACTCTGGTCAGCAATCTGTGCCAGCACCTGCCTTGGCATTTGGGCCAAAGGGAGCTGCAGTGGCGGAGCAGGTCCCCTGTGTGCTCCCCTGCCTGCAAGGAGGGACGCTGCAGCACCCAGGGCTCAGATGGCCAGGAGTGGCGTACGCTGCTCGGTCACGCGGGGAGGCAGGTCCCAGCTCAGGCCTGTCCCATGGGGCAGGTGTGGAGAGGGCAGCAGGACCCGGGTAAGCCAGTGCCTGTGGGGGAGAGGAGTGAGGCCACAGCAAAAGGCTCAGGTCTCGGTGCTTCTCAGCCCTGCAGAGCCAAGCCAGGGCTGTTGGCACCAGTAAGAGGCATGACCCTGTGTCCATGAGCTGGCACAATGGCCGAGCTCCTCAGCCGGGGGTCTCTGGGCAAAGGGGTGCTGAGTAGGCCAGAGCTTGCCAGTGGGCATGATGGCTGAGAAGCCACAAGGTAGCCGATGCCCATGTCCTCTGTGCCTTGCAAAGCCTGGAGCAGCACACAGCATGGGACGCTCACTGTTCTCCTCTGTCCCAGCTGCCCAAGGAGAGCCCCAGTGTCCCCACATGCTGCTGAGCCACCACCTTCCCAGGCAGGGCCTTCTCCAGGGCTTTACCTTGGCACGTCCACACCCAGGAACACCTTCCAGTTATCCCAGCTGCCGTAACTGTAGGGGTTCCTGAAGACCTGGAGGCCAGAGAGACACACATCACATCTGGCTCTGCCTGGCCAGCCCTCCCGCTCTGCAGGCTGTGCTCACCTTGCCTTTCTTCTGCAGCCTCTGCCTCTCCTTCTTGTTGATGTGCCTTTCAATGCTGGTTTCCCCACGGGTGATGAGGGCAGCATGCCACAGTGTGAGGGCACCCAGGGCCAATGCAACTGAGCTGGGGACAGCAAGGGACAGCAGGTCGCACAAGGCCTTCCTTCCCTAGTTCCGCAGCTGCAGGGAGCTGAGGCTGCCTCCCCGCAGCACAGCTGCATAGGTGGGTGGACTGGTCTAATCCCCCATGACAGAGAGCCAAAATTTCCTCTGTGGCCCAAGAGCTGGCAGGGCAGGGATGTCTATGCTAGAGCGTCAGCCCAGGCCCAGGGACGTAGAGGGTGAGCAATGTCACAGGGCAGGAGGCTGCACGCTGCTTCCCCCAGCACCCTCACTCCCAGCCCCTGGGCCCCATTACCTGCACAGGACCCAGAGGTAGACCACGCTCTTGTGGAAAGCTCGCTGGCGGAAGGAGAAGGTGGGTGGTGGGGTCTGGTAGTACGTCTGAAAGAGAACCAGAGAGGGGGGCATTATCCAAACTGCTGTGTAACTTAGAGCCAGACAGGGGGACTGCTGCACCCTCACTGATGCAGAGCTTGGACAGCTAGAATGGACTGTGGCTGGAACCAATGCAACAGCCAGGCTGATGGGGAGCACCCTGAGACAGCACGAGACAGACAGACACCTGAGCGCTGGCACATGGGTGGGAAGCAGTGGGCAGGAGGTAAGGGGGCAGGGAGCAGCCATGGGACTGGTCAGGACACCACACCATACTGCACCTGATGCTCGGGGTGAGATGTTTATGCACTGCTGCAGCTCCCCCAGGAGAGCAGGGCCTGAGCAGCACATGCCATGCTGCTGCCACCAGCCAAGCCCCTGGAAGCTGGGTGTGCAGGGAAGCAGACCCCAAGCTGCTGGAGGCAGTGCCCGTAGCAGAGCTCCCCTCCCAGCCCCAGCTCTCTGACAGGAGATGAGCACAGGGGCCGGTTCTGGCTGTGGGGTGCTCCTCGAGAGCAGGGCCCCAAGCAGGGCCCAGCCTGCAGGGCAGCTCTGCCCACACTGCCTGGAGCAGCTGGGGGGCAGGGATGTCCCACCTGGTTGGCAGCCACCTGCAGTCTCTCCTTCTCAAGCAGTTTCATTCTCTACGGGGAGGGAAAACAGGGCACCAGTTACGTGTCTCAGAGGAGGGGGACCTTCCCCCTCACCCTCCACAGGACCAGGGCAGCTGGGCACCTCACAGGAGGGAGAGGGGAAGCAAAGTCACTACAAGGCCCAGCCTTGTTCTGCAAACTCAGCCTGGGGAGCCCAGGCAGCCTCGGTGCACGGCAGGACAAGGGCCGGGGTCTGCAGGCTCACCTCGATGGCTGCGTAGGCGTCCCGGAACATCTCCCAGCCGCTGATGCTGCAGTAGATGCAGCCCATGGTCATGAACAAGCAGAAGGAGAAGAAGTAGCGGTGGTTGTAGTGTCCCACACAGTTGTTTAGCCAGGCTGCCTCTGGAGTTAAAGGTGTGTAACTGTGATGGGCCATGGGTCCAAACCCACCCCAGGGACCAGGGCAGTTCTTCTGGGCCTGACCCACAACAACCTTTCCCATGCTGACTGACTCAGGAGGAGTGGGGCAGGGAGAGAAGGGGGAAGCAGCTGCCCCCAGGAGAGTGCTGTGGGTTAGTACTGCAGAAGGATACGGCAGTGGTGGTCCATCTTCAGCACACACCTGGGAGGGAGGAGAGCAGCGCCAGCGTCAGTGCCAGCACAAGCACCGTGTTTGGGAGGGGGCAGGCAGCCTCCCAGCCCTGAGAGCTGTGCTAAAGACACGGCAAGAAGCCAGCAGAGCAGAGGGTAAGAGGCTCTGGTCTCGCAGCATGGTGGGGGGCAAGGAAAGGGGTCCCAGAGGCTTCCCAGAGTACAGTGGTGGGCAGAGGGAGGGAGCCCTACCTGTTGCAGATGCTGCAGTGGTGGGTGCGAGCTGGCTTGGGGGCGATGCATTTCCTGCAGATGGAGACACCGGTGAGATCATCCTTGCCCTGCACGCAAATCAGAAGAGGTTTGTGCACCAAGCCCTGCACCCATTCCCTGCTCCCCACGCTCCTCACCTCCCCTGTGACCCCCCCCACCTCCCCTCCTCACACTGCCCAGCCTAGCTG